AAGCCTTCGATGCTGTCGAATGATTCAAAACACAGTCAAGATAATAATAATCTGATTAGGGAATTCCAAAATATGCTTTATGATTGACTAACATGATTTGGAATGATTCTCAGCCTAAAACACTGATTGGCTTATTATAAATACCGAGGAAAAATATTTTAAATCTCTTTTCAAGGCTACTAAGCATAAATCTTAGAAGACTACAAAAAGAAACAATCTTTGATACCAAACTGCACAAAAAGGTATTGGTTTAGGTTCTAATTTTTCTGGGAAATAGGAAAAAGTTTGAAGTTACCTCCTTGTAAAATGACTAAGAATAATATTTTTAACTATTCACATGGGCAACTTTGTCATGACTTCCTAGACTGCTCATGCAAAAAAGAAAATGGGGTATTTCTTACCCAAATCCCTACCTATGTGACCGTTAAACAGTCCCACACCAGCTTTCGTTATGGTCCAAAGGCTCCAAAGGCTGAGGAAGCAAATGAGGAAAACTATAGATTTCCTGACAACTCTATGTTAATTAAGAGATCTCTTGACATCAGGGGAACTTATAGTCTCAAGTCAAATCCGGACCAGTTTCAGTTTTGAATCCTTGTTTTCCTCTTAGCAAACTCCAGAGCACTTTCTTGCCCCAATCGGGAATTCCATGCTGTTAAAATTTATTAGCTCCTAGCTAACCCGAAACTTCCACCTGTACAAAATTACAGCACAACATACCTCCTGTTGTAAGGAGCATGCTCTTGTTCCCCGGGCAAGAAGAAAATGAAAAGACTAAGTATGTGTGGGGTGGGAATAACTGAAATCCCATATTGCCTACCAGAATAGAATACTTCCTCATAGGGATAATCTTCCCCGATACAACACCACAATAACCAATAACAACAAAGGCAGAATCCATTTTTTTTTAAGTATGGGATAAAAGAGATCCAATTCACACCACTCCCTCAAAACAAAATAGGATGGGAAACAACCTTCCTTTTGACAGAATACCAACAGTACTTTTAAAAGTATAGCCTCTCCTTCAACTAACCCTTGACCCAAGAAAGTTCTACTGGTTGCGACTCTAAAACCAGCCCAAGAATATTCTCTGACAGGGCCCCTCACGAGTATATTCAGACATGGAACCAGACTTCTACGTGATGATTACCTCTTAACTTTTATCACTACACATTGCTTCCAATACTTCCTGGGGCAAAAACAGCCTTGCTTAGTCCTAAAGTTTGACTCAGCATTTTCCAGTCTATTAGCTAAAGGTGAACCTTAATAAAGGAATCTTATTTCCATATGGAAATGACACAGTTCCCATCAAGAATATTCTGCTACAATTTCGTTAATTCACATTTAGTCAAATGCAACTAAGAAATTGGGGACCATGACATTTTCCTACTACATACCCTGCAAGACATTTGGCCTATGGATAACTTTTTATGAAGCAAATGCAGCTTCTGATGAAAGCCTGCGAATGACAAATACTTACCTGAGAGTCTAAACTTAATAAATCAAGAAACTAAAATTGGTTGTTTGGGGTATGTATTTAAAATCTTTCTGGGAAACCTGGGTGGCTCAGTCAGTTAAGCTCCAGCTCTTGATTTTGGCTCAGGTCATGATTTCAGGATGGTAAGAGCTAACCCTGCATAGGGTTCCTCATTCAGTAGGGAGTCTGCTTGAGATTCTCCCTCTCCCTCTGCCCCTACCCTCACCCCACTCTCCCTCTCTCTCTCAAATAAGTAAAGAAATCTTTAAAAGTAAATAACAAAAAATAAAAATGAAAATTTTCTGATTTAAATATCTTGAAAAAGTTTGAAGAGATTCTCTCCTTCAAAGACTCAAGCATTTTGTAGAGGTTCTGCTTGAAATCCCATCTCTTCAACACCAATTAAGAGTGTCCTTCTCCACCTCCATCTTATGCAGACTTCCAAATCACAGAGAAACTACCATATAGAAAGTCAGCAAAAATACCTTCTGAGACTAAAAGAAGTTGTCACTTAATGAGGGAGACACAAGAGAGAAAGGGTTCTCTGTTTTAAGGGTGCATTACAGGATCTGGAAAAGCTGTCAGTAAAGAGATGTGTAATTGGGACGTCTTCAAAATGGCTTGCAAATTCTGGATACTCAGCTGACCCTGAAGCAGGCTTCGTGGGGACAAGGGGATGGTGGTTAGGGATACTTGAAAGAAACTTGCTGTAATGGAAAAGCCAGCATTAACTCCTACCTGTGCAAACACAGGTCTGCATCCTATCCAAGGACAGCAAAACTAGATGGGCTTAATTTCCTGATGGTCTTCAGAGTGTTACTGAAACTAAAGTCATGGGCTGCATCCTCACACAGCCAATTCATTTCAATTTTTCCTCTGTCACAGACCATGCCCTCAACCTGGACAGCTTGTGCATGCAAAGCCTTGACAAAGAAAGAGTTTTAGAAGAGTAGAAGGATGAAATAAAGTAAATCTACCATCTTCCTACCCAAAGAACAATACTTCATTATCTAGAAAGACATTTTATTTTTTTAATTTTTTTTTAAAGATTTTATTTATTTATTACACAGAGAGAGATCACAAGTAGACAGAGAGGCAGGCGAAGAGAGAGAGAGGGAAGCAGACTCCCTGATGAGCAGAGAGCCCAATGCGGGGCTCGATCCCAGGACCCTGAGATCATGACCTGAGCCGGAGGCAACAGCTTAACCCACTGAGCCACCCAGGCGCCCGAAAGACATTTTAAATGGGAAGAGTTGAAAAACCCCTAAAAAATAAATGACACAGCCCTTCTATTCAGCAGTTAACATATATGGGGTCTGGATCAGGATTTATCAGTTCAAGGCTCCACATGCAGGCCAGCTGGTTTGGCAACCTGACTTCGTGCTCACTTGGAAGAATCTGAATGGCTAATTCTCACATCGGTGTTACTAACTCATAACAACTTAAAGACCTTTCTCTTCCAAAAATGGGTTCATGTTTTCCCAGATTTCACAGTGAAGAACATCTAGGAACTCAGGAAATCTAGGCAGTGAACCGAGCCTCACTTCCAAAGGGCTGTACACATTTGGGAAATCACAGAATCTGTTTGGGCCTCAGTTCCCTACCCATAAGGTGGCAGTGTTAGAGTAAACAGAGTCTAAATTCCCTCCTAGCTAAAGTGTGTTTGGTGTCTGATTCCATGCAGTAAGCATTAACATCAAGCTTATGAGACAGGTGAGTAGGGGCCTCCCAACCCAGGCAAGTGTAAGGCTGAGAACACATGCCTGATGGGATAACCCAAGCTAGGAGACAGTGAGGGGTGGAAGATGATTAGGCTTGAACTCAGAATTCACCTTGATGTTAAATCAGTAGAGACAACTTATTGATAAAAGCCAGGCAACAGAATACTCCAAAGGGAAAAAACTTCCTGTAAGAGACAGCCAACTGGAGTTCAAGACTCAGCTCAGTCATTCACTAACAGCATGGCTTAGACACAACACTGAACAATTCTGAGCCTCAGTTTCCTCAATGGATGTGTTACTGTCTGCCCCACGTACAGACAGTACAAAGTCTTTATATCAATATAAGAAAATAAACACACACACTCAGTAGATTGTGAAGCAGTCACAGCTCAGAGCTTCCATGTGAACAAGCATTTAGGATTTAGTAGGAGGTCTCCCTATGATAGAATAGAACAAAAACAAAAGCAAACACAAAATTTAGAGAACTATTTTTGAGAAAGCAGCTTCCTACTTGCCTAATCCTAAAATACAGATCCCGAAATATCAATATGTGACATTTCTCTAGGCTCTTCAAGAGAATAGAACAGATTTTCAATGGAAATATCTGCATAATAAAAAGACAGCTAAATGGCATATAAGACATTCAAGTAAGCCAGAATTTCTCCTTTACACCAGGAGACCCAGGACAAGCTGAAGAGCCAAGCAAGGGGTAAAGCTCAACAGAGAAATTAGTCCAAGGTACCTGAATAATCATGAAAAGAAAGTACAGAAACTGGGGACAAAAGAATGAAAAGATATTTGGCCACAGCCTGGGGACTACTGACTGGGCAGAACAGGCATGGAAAGAGAAGAAAGTTTTTCTTACTTGGGGGACCAGTTGGCCGGGAAGAGAAGTATCAGACACCAAACCTAACTTGACCCAGGGACAGGCACAAGCACACAATATCAACGCATAATGCAGTATGACTAGAGAAACATGCTGTTAACCCCTAAATGAGGGAAGATGAGAACCTAATGGCTTTAAAAAAAAAAAAAAACTATACACCAAGTTCATTTGTTTTGAACAACTCTCCATGAATTCTCAGAAAAGTCTAAGGAGAATATCCAGAGAATGCCGGGCAATAATTTGGTTTGAAGCATGACAATAAATGTCAGCGTGTATCCACAACCCTGCTAGCAAGAGGAAACTGAATGGGAAACCAGTTAGATCAAGACTGGAAAGATGGGTTTTTCCAATCATTCTGTGAAACAACAGTTGTAGGAGAATTGAGGTCAGGGAACTTCCCAAGAGAGAAACTCTACAGACAGCAAGACAGAGAACCAAGAAGTAAATCAAATCAGAGGCTATGGTTGACAGAAAGACTTAGGGAGAAATAAGAGAGAGAGAGAGAGAGAGAGTATAGGGCATTAAGGTAGAAGTGGTAGAAAATCCTGAGTCCTGAGCCCTACAGAAGTGATAATTGGAGTATGTTACCAATCCTGAAAGATGATGAATCCAGGAGGATGAGTACAGAGAAGGGCCCCAGATTTGACCCAAGTGGAGACTTTGAGAGCAATGGTTAAGAAACATGAGCCCATGGGGCATTAACAGAGATACTTAATGCCCAACCACATCCAGGATTAAGAGGGGAAGCTCTTGCTAATTTGCTCCCATTGCAAAGCACACAGGAGTAAGTATTTAATGCAAAGTAGAAATGACCATATCCCATGTCTAGAACCCTGCTGTTATGAAGAATACCAAAACTTGAAAGCAAAGTCGCCTCAGAGGGAATCCCCAAGGCCTACTTGCTCTGCTCACTTACTCAGCTTTGATAAATGCTCTGGTGTCTCTCTCCTCATACTAGCTTGCTGGCTTCCCGGCTCAGAATAGCTTGCAGTCTGGCGTTCCTCTCAAGGCAACGATTTGTACATAACTGTGGAATGTTTCCAGGTGTTCACAAAATAAAACTAAATGGTGCTCTTGTGCCTAGCTCAAACCTTGCTTGACAATTCCCTCTCAAGTCCCCATTACCTACGCAAAAGCAGCTCTACTTGATTAATCAAGCTGAAAATCCGGCTGCAGAAAACCTTGGTAGCTTGCATTCCAGGGTGAAATCTAGTTCTAGCTGGAAAACTTGGGCCACATTTGACCAAGAGAGTTCAAGTTCAGATCCTTCTCTTTGACAGCTGGCTGTAACTAAATCTAACCAAGAAAAGATAGTTAATTCATATAAGGGAACTTAAAATGTAATCTTGTTCGTTCTCTGCAATGAAACACCTGGAAAATATTAGTTATTTGATAGGCATGTGGTGAATGTTGAATATTCAAAAAGGGTCTCCTATCACATTACATGATTAACATTCGTACTCACTAGTGAGACCAATTACATGCCTTCTCTTTTTTGTGAGAATGGCAAGAGAGTTTGGGGTTTATGGTCCAACAAAGAACCAGAAAACAAGGCTTTTAGCAAAATTTGCTTCAAGCATTCAACAGGTAGAAAAAACAAGGTTGTTATAACTGGCCTGCACTTTAAGTGAATTAGTAAAATGTTCTTGTTGCAACTATTAATTTGCTAAAAGAACAGAATTTTCAAAAATGTTCAAGAAGGGCACCTGGGTGGCTCAGTGGGTTAAAGCCTCTGCCTTCGGCTCAGGTCATGATCCTAGGGTCCTGGGATCGAGCCCGCATCTGGCTCTCTGCTCAGCAGAAAGCCTGCTTCCTCCTCTCTCTTCCTGCCTCTCTGCCTACTTGTGGTCTCTGTCCATCAGATAAATAAATAAATAAATAAATAAATAAATAAATTCAAGAAATTAATAGACTATATATGGTCATCAGACTATAAAAATTATCATCAGACTATAAAAATTATTGCAAACTTCCCCAATACTATGCTATGCTCTGAGGTATCCCAACAGAATAATTATAAACAAGTAGACTAAAAAGTATGGTTTTCATGGTGATAGTTCAATTTTTGGAAAGATTAAAGGTTTTCTTCTTAAAACATGACTTAGTATAAGTTCAGCCAAGTGAGTTGTGACATGCAGCACCGAATTACATTCTGTAGGAATAACAATGTTAAACTGAGTTTCCTGGGAAATATTTTGAATTTTCCTATTTTAAACCAAGGTTCAGTATCAATACATACGTTTGCCCATAAACGGTTAAATGTTCCATTTCTTTCTGACATTAGAGATCAGAGCATAAGACTCCTAAGAAAGCATTTTCCTTCACTATAAGGGAAAAAAAGAACTGCCCTGCTCAAATTTAAAATAGAATTTCACAAATTTCTGTCATGCATTTTGAAAGAGATTATATAAATTGAATAACAAGTCTAAAGAAAATTGAATATAGGCCAATTAAAAGGGAAAGCAGAACAAACAAACAAAAAAACCTGGGGCACCTGGAAGGCACAGTCAGTTAAGCCTCCAACTCTTGTTTTCAACTCAGGTGATGATCTCAGGGTTATGAGATCGAACCCCCCCCCCCCATCAGGCTCTGGGTTCTGTGCAGAGTCTGATGGAGATTCTCTCTCCCTCTCCCTCTACCCTTCCCTGGCCACACATGCTTGCTCACTCTCTCTCTCTCTCAAATCAATAAAATCTTTAAAAAAAAAAAAGAGGAATCAAAAATATATTTTTAATTTTGTGTAGATTAAATGACTAGCCTCATACAATGATGCTTTCCTGCTAGAAGAATGTTGTTCTGCTAGAGGTAATTATGGTAATAAGAATTAGGGTAATTTAAACCCTATTGAAAAGGGGATTTAAGAGATTCTTATGTTGCAGAGAAACCCAAGAATATGCTTGAAATCCTGGCTATTTATGCTGTCATAAAAATAACTAGGCAGGTACCAAATTAATTTTATGTATCAAAGGACTCGATAATTTTAGATTAAACCATTTTAGATTTATTAATGATCTGATGGCATATTAATTGGGGAGTTTCCATTTGCTATATGCTTTAAGTTTTAGATTTCATATTTGGACCAAAGTACCATCACACTGCATTATTTTCCAAGTCAGAATACTTAGGATTTTCCTCCAATATACAACTTGAGGAAATAAATATCCTCCCAAGTAGACACAAATGTTCCCTATCTAGCAAATGACCACATTGGTACAATAATCTGGAATCTCTAGCTAGATTCAATTTATGAAAAGATGCTTTTTTATAGATTTTACAATAGCCTGATTTTCATTTTTAAATGTGTTTCATTGTGTACTGTCTTTATTCATTCCCATTCAAAGAGGAAGTGACTCTACTGTTTGAGGCCCAATGCCACAGGTTAAAGTCAGAGAAGTGAGTCATGCTGGATTTGGTCCCTAGAAGTGCTTGCCAACAATGCAGATGAGTTTATCACTAGCACTGAAAATGACTTTTATTCTTTCCCCTTGTATGTTTTCTAGGGCTGTCATAGGAAAATACTACATAATGCAAATACTACAGAATATAAGCTGAGTGGCTCAAAACAACAGGAATTTATGCTCTCACAGTTCTGGAGACCAGAAGTCAGAAATCAAGATGTTGGCAGGGCCATGCTCCCTCTGAAACCCTAAAGAACAATCCTTCCTTGCCTTTTCCTAAACTTCTGGTGCCAGGTGGCAGTTCCTTGGCAATCATTGGTTTGAAGCTATGACACACCAATGTCAGTTTTTATTGTCATGAGCTGTCTCTGTGTCTCTACAGGGCTGCCTTCCTATAAGGACATCAGTGATACTGGATTAGGGGGCCCACCCATTAGGACCTCACCTTAATTCAATTCAACTAATGACATCCACAACTACTTTATTTTCAAGTAAAGTCACATTCTGAAGTACTGGGGCTTGGGGCTTAGCATATCTTTTGGGGGGAAGGTGGCACAATTCAGCCCATAACACCCCCTACTACCTTTAATCCTCTTCTGTCAGTAAAACTCTTGTATGCCAAAGGAGTCTCTACAAGGTAAGAAACTGGAACAGGAGTGAAGAAAGAAGACTCCGTTGGTTTATAACGTTTTTACTTTCTTCCACACCAGAAAACATACTGGTTAGACTTTTTTTTTTTTTTTTTTTTTTTTTTTTAGAAGAGAAGACTTATGTGTAAAGAAGTTAAATGCCTTTCTTGGTAGCACCCAACTGTTATAAGTCATGGGAAACCCAGGTCTCCTAACCCCTGGAACTATGCTGTTCCCATGGATACACAGAGCCTAATATAAAGCCCCATCATTATGGGTCCATCAACACTCAAAATGAAAATTGGATGTTTTCAGATTAGATAAGTTACATAAAGGGGCCACAAGGAGGATCCTTGCAGTGATGAAACTGTCGTTTGCCTTGATGGGGGCTTCGGACTACCCAGAGATGGTCCAGAGAGCCATGAATGCTACTGTCCCCCGGGCCCCTTTCTTCCCCTCTGGTTGAGTGGCAGTCCCTACATACTACCACCAGACTGCCTAGAAAGTAGCCTAACCATACCTGCCAACCTGTAGGGCACGGGAAGTTCCCTGAAGAAGAAAGAAGTCGTCCTTTTCACTACCTTCTCAGTCAGGAAATGGAAAGAAATCTCACTTAAAGAGATTTCAAAGTAGACCATGCCTCTACTCAAACCCAGCTTTTGCCCCAAATTTTGGCCTCAAACTGCTAGCTGATGTAAGAAAATCTCTAATGTGAATGAAAATAGCCTAGGGCCCTGTGACACAGTGGCCAAGCCACAGGGGAGACACTCAAAGATCTGGGTTTGAACCCTGTCTCTGCCTCTGCCTCTGCCTCTGCCTTTGCCTCACATGAGAGTTAGACCGGGTACTTTTCTTCTCTAGGCTTTGGGTTCATGGAGAGGACAACTCCTCTTTCCCAGGATTGTTTTGAGAAGTGACTGAAATTGTTCATGTACTAGTAAAAGTGCTGCTTATGGTTCCTGGAACATAGAAGGTGTTCAGTAATATCGTTGGTCCTTATTCCGTGCCCCGCACATGCAGTATTCCGAAAATGCTACGGACTCTCTATTCAAAAGGCTATTGTGCTATTTCTAGTGCAAGTTATATTCCATGCTGGGATGTTTGGGCAGGAGGTTTCTTGTCTATTAGATTAATTCTTTTGCTTCTAATCTTAACTTGCTCTCACTAATATATTCAGACATTTTTGAAAGGGCTTACCCACAGTCTAGTAATTTGCGGGTGAGTTTAAACTGGCTAAATTTCGCTTTTCCCCTACTTCTATTTCAATGGTTATTTGGTTTGGGAGGCCTGTCTTTGGGTCACATTTGTTCCTCAGTTGTTTCTATGGCAAATATCTCTCACCTGATCATTTTTGAGACCAAGGAGAGTTGCTCAACACCTAGGAGCCTGGGTGTCTGATTCCAGGCTAGAGTCTGATCAGAGACTCCTCCAGGGTGACTGGCTGTCACTGGCTCTGTGAGATGAGATGGCCAAGATCCTAACAACAAGAATTATCTCTTGACTTCACAAAAACGTTTTCCAATCTCTCCCTGTGTATGCCAAGATGATAAAGATAAGTCAACATGCCCTAAAGAAGTAATTACTCTTATGCTGGCAAGTCTAAGTGTAATTTAGAACTATTAACTATGGTATGGAACTGACTGTTGAACTTGCTAGAAAGTCATTCAATACATGTTTAGAGACTGTTATAAATCATCTAGAGAAAATAACCCATTTTTTTAAAATGTGATTCTAGCCATGAATGAGACCAGTCAGCCCCCCATGGGATCTTATTTGTTTATTTTCACATTAGAGCAATCACATGATACCACTCTTAATCTCAGAAGGAACCTCCATACAACATTAAATAACATCAACTGTGTCATGATTTAGATTTTAATGAACCACAAACATCAGCATGCTACAACTAAAAAGCTGTTTTTGTTTTATTTTTGGTGAGAGATTAAAAGAGGGTTAAATTTTTGTTCATTTATTTTAAATCAACATTTATTTTGTATTCAGATTATTAAGGTAGCCCAGATATGCTCAACTAATGGAAAACTTGGAAAAAAAATAGAAAAGTACAAAGACAACT